ATCATCAAAAGTGTCAACTCTCAAAAGTTTCCATATAGAAGTATTCAAGTGTTATTCCACAGTTTTTATAAATATTATTAAAATAATAACGAATTACTTTTTACTTTATTATTTATTTTTTTTATTTGGTTTAAAAAAAATGAATATATTTATACGAGTCGGTGAGCTTGAGTATTTCGTAATTCAGATGCCACCGAGAATTTAATAGCAGGTATATTATTTATTAAAATTACTAAAACTGAAAAAATGTCTATTATATCATTTTTTGAAACTAATAATATAGAAAAAGTCTATTTCATGCAATAAATTTATTTTATATTGTTTTTGAACTATTTTCTAGCAGGAGTAAAGATCAAGACAAAGTAGAGTCGTTCTATTTCAAATTGATGCGTTGTCCTCTATTTTACTTAAAAATTTAAAATAAAAATATTTTTATAATAACTAACCGCCACAGAAACTCAGTTTATCAACTTAAATGCTCGGATTGTGAATTCATTTACATAGGCAAATAATCCAAAATCTGAGCAAACGCCTACATTAACACAAAAATAATCACAAAAACAGTACACAATATAAAACAATGATAATAGAACATATGAATAATTTGAACCACAGCATAGTTTTTTTAACCCTACAATCTTACATTTCGAAAAAAAATTACTTTAAAGAAGGTCTGTTGAAAGGTTGTTTAACCAATTACCACAAGATCCTGAACAAAAGAAGTGACTACACATCTCTGAACGAAACTAATTCGTGGTTACGTATCAAATTTTTAAGGAAAATAACAAAATGTCATAGTTTTTGGCATTCTTGCAAATTGTCAAATACATGTAAAACCTTCATTACAAGCAAATATATATTTACTTTTAAAAAATGCGACATCTCTATCCCAAACTCAGAATGGTCAATACACTGTGTATTCAATCAATTGAGAAATTAAACTTGCCTCCGATGATCGACATCTCGGTTATGTCGAATTTAATTTCTAAATTAGATATTTTAGAGAAAAGTGATCACTGATACTTAGCGCTTTATTCCAATTATTAATTATTTACATATTAGTCTCAGAATTTCAAAACAACTGATTATGTATGGAACATCATCAGTGGAAAACGTATGGAAAAATAAAGATGTTTTAGACATCTTTAGTTTAATTATTTTTTACTTGATGCTTCGCCTTCCAAAAAATTATTGATACATTTCAACATCAAATTTAAACATTCTCAACATATATATGTATGTATCATTCATATATATGTATGCACCTGTCTATTTGCAAGGAAAAAGTTATATAATCTAAAATAATATGAAATTTCTTCCAATGATAAATGTTACAAGATAAATCGATGTTGCATTAACCATAATCTTCGCAAAATACATTTATTATTTTGTTACGTAAGTTATTACTAGGGCATAATGGTGAGCTCGCAAAATAAAATAAAGTTGAATGACACATAAAAACAATCACTTGGATTGAGAAAAAAGAAAGATGTTTCCATGTTTCGAAACGATTCAATAAAATTACGAAATATAAATTAATATTTACTTTCAATTTAAGTGGTTTACGTAAAACTTAAGTGTGAGAGAATTTTCGAGAGGCTAATATACGAATTTTGCCATAATTATAGTGTTAGATTTAACATATTTTAAAATCCATTAATGCTATTTAGCAGTTTTTAATTTGTGCTCTCTTAAATATAGACTTTAGCAGTTTTTGCTAAATCGAAAGAGCAACGGTCATCAATTAATTATTGACTACAATTTTTATTAAATAAATGTGCAGACACTTTTAACTAACAATTTCAGTTACAAGGTTTGCTGAATAATCATTAACTATTCAATTAGACGAATCTACGCTAAAATTTATTACTTTGGATAGGTGCATTCCAAGTTTCAAGAATTCATGCTAATGTAAAATTTAATTATCATTCCACGCGATCTAACCACACTTAGTAGTGGTATTTTATAAAATATATGAAATGTAACAACATATGTAATTTATAATTGCGATAAGTGATCGCAGTATTATATATATGTACTTATATATTACATTATAATACTGTAATTATAAATAGTTACGTCGAAGAATTATACATATGTAATATGATATCAATTTTTTCATTAATTTATATGAACAAGTTTTAGATTTTTATTATAAAGTAGAAGCAACATTTTATCTTGTCTGTCAACATCGAATTGTTATATTCATTATTTATCATGATATGTATTCAGAGCACAAATGATCATTGATTTATTTTAAATTATTTTTAAGTTAATATTGATCATTAATAGCCCACTGTACTTTTCATAGAGAAGCTTTAAATTTTAATTAGAATTATTTTATATATTTTGTAACATTTTTAACATCTTATGATCCTGTTACACTTAGTATGTTATAAAATCCTCATTAAAAATAGGAACTTGACATGATAGCGCTTAAAACGCATTTTAATCGTATATAACATAGTACCTATAGCATTTCATTGGTATTTTTGTAATATTAAAATTTTTATTATATTCATGGCATATCCCCAAAATTATATATATATATATATATATACATATATATATATATATATATAGGGTTGTCCTTAATATAGATGAATTTCCTTGCTCCCAAGGGCTCAAATGGTTCCAAATTGATAAAAAACAATTCTCTGAAAGTTTTAGCTCTTAATATTGTCTTTTAGATAGAGCGCAATTCAATCAAAGATTTGTATGGAAATGAAAAAAATTTCAAAAATTTTGCAAAGCTTCGAATTTTCAATGAAACATAAATTTTCACTTTTAATTCATTTGTCGCTAAGTTATACTTAATTTTTTTTTTTTAATTTTCAAAATTTTTCCATACTATTTCCATACGAAGTTTGATTTAGAGCTAAAACTTCCAGAGAATTGTTTTTTAAAAATTTGGAACCATTTGAGCCCTTGTGAGCAAAGAAATTCGAAAATGTCCATATTAAGGACAACCCTAATATATATATATATATATATATATATATATATATATATATATATATATATATATATGTATATATATATACGTTTCTATAACAAAAACAATTAGAAATAACCAATTACATTTTCTGCTTCTATTAAATTACAATTATCCGTAATATAAATTAGAACTTTGTCGATGATTAGCAAGTATTACCAGAAGCCATGAGGAAAAGCTGCTTTAAATTATATCTAAGAGGAAGTAATCTTTGTTCTACAAGCATCGTTGAGTTTTGATTTTGATACAATTGTATTTTGCAGGTTTGAAATTTAATTAATAAAATGATATAATAATTTTGTTCGAACAATAAAATTGGCACGAGTTAAGGGGAAATAGTATAACCGTTAAAAATAAGTAATGAACATACTTGGGAAAAATTTGCATATAAGGGATAGTCAAGGCTGTTTCTATCAAAATTTGTGTACTTTATTTTTTATTATAGATTTTAGTTGTATCGTCACCTTTCTAACGTTTATGCAGTGTATTATCAATAATATTAATATTTGCTCTAGCTATAATCTTTTCCCCTTTACATAAAAATAGCAAAATATTTGGAATCTCGAAATAATTAAAATTTCAAATACATTCATGCGAAAATTGTGCATTTGATACATCACACATTAAAATAGTTTTTTTTTAATTTTATTTCAATAGCAATCAGAATACATGACAATTCTATGAGCTATTTAGCTTATGTCATTCACTCGCACACATGCACACGCACTTTCAAACACACATATAAATTTATCTGATAAATATTACATTTGACGTATTAGCCACCGTCCATTAAAATATAGCAGATTTAAATAAAATATATGCATACCATATATGTGTCAAACTCATTTAGTTTTTATTACATTTAATCAGATGCATACGAGTGATGGTTATAATTCAGAGAAAAGAACTTTCTTATTCATTTTATAAAGATTTGGCATAAATATTTATCTAAATATTTTACGGTTTGTTTATTGCATGATTCAAAAGGTTATTAAAATATATTCTTCTCTGCAAGAAGTTTTTCTGAAATTTAATTGCAGAGTATGGTTCTCTGTAAGAACTCTGTAATTAAATTCGTTAAAATACTTTTAATCGAATTCCCTTATATACTGGGTCACAAAGAAATAATATATAGAAGATATGTATATATAATTTGTACCATCTATCCAGATTTTTTAATCTATATAATGTTGATAAATTTTATTAATAGCTCAAAGTCGTAAGAATTAATTTTTTTATATAAAATAAAATATAAAATCGAAAAATAAAAATTGAAAAAAAAAATTTTCTTTAAATGGATTATTTAAACATACGAGTGTTTATTAGTGTATAAATTATGCTTTGTTTGTTTTTCATTTACGTAAAGAGAAATTTTACATACCACATCATTCAACAATTTCCTAAAGCTTCTATTTGTTAACGAACATTTAGAAAAATATAAATAACTTCGAAAATAAGATATCTCTAATAAAAAAAATACTTTAATTTTAGAACTTAATTGTAGCTTCTAAACTACTGACTATACTTTTTTTGTATTTTGAAAAATTATGAGACATTATCCACATACGTTTAAATTTCAATTTTAGATATTTGGAGATTTTTAATATAATTAAGGATTATTTCGCAATTCAAATGCATTTATAATAAGTAAATATGTAGGTATTGAATACTTCGTACTTTTCATAATCACAAGTTTCACCTACAATCCTCGCGACTATTGCATTTACTATCACTTATATAGACATATAATTATTTATAATTATAATAAGCTCTATATTATATTGAAAATTAATTTATATTCAGTCACGAAGGTGTTGCTTCAATTTTCTTTATTTTTTTTCCTAACTTGAAGTTAAGGTGGAAACACGAACGTATGTTAAAATTTGATAGAAATGAAGGAAATAAATGTTTATTTTTATTAGATTATAACATTATTTATATAATTCCTTTTGTGTTAGTTGAATTTAAATTAAAATTTCATGCTAAAAAATTAAATATAACTCACCGGGCTATAATTTAGTTGGAAGGGTGATTGTCCATTGGAGACGTGAATCCACGTGCATAACAATGCAGACACAAAAAGTCGAAATTTTAAATCCATTTTCGCTGAAATTTGTATACAATTCACAATTCGTGAAACATAACAAACTCAAAAGTCTGCAAAGCACCTGATTACAAAATCACTTGTTTATAAAATTATCCCTTTTGTTGCACTTTTGTGTTATTCCGTTCGACTTGAACGACCACGACTTGCAAAAGACACTGCACGGTTTACACTGTGAACGTAGCAAAGTCAGCAATACATTTTATCAATACACCTATCACAAATCCGAACGAAATGCGCGGTTCTGCAAGTGAGAATATTATCCCCTTCTCTTGATAATGCCACCAAGAACGATAGACGAAGCGCCTGTTAACACCAGAATTACTTTGCTTCTTGATTAACATTGTTATCAATTTTATTATTTCAACATAATACTTCATAGCTCCATTCAGAGAATTATTTCCCCTTTTGGCTGGCTGTACTTTTTTGTTGCCGCAGAGATTCAACAATGTCCAAATTCCTCAAACGCTAGAGCTAGAATAAAATAAAATCGTAAAAAAAATTAATATTTTCTACACAAATGCTAAAAAAAAACAAGTAAAATTTAAAAATAAAATAGGATTTAAAAATATAAAATTTTCTGACCCATGATTTCACCTTGTGTCCCGGGTTTACCTAGAAGAAATATTTGGCCAAGATTCTCCCAGATTTTCAAATAGTACTTGACAATAAAATTACATTTGACTATTATGTAACAAGACAACGTATATGCTTATATGAATTAATAATTTAAGAATAAGAAAATTGCCGAATACAAAATTCCAAAGGCGGGTTAAAATAGCCTCTTACATTAATAAATTCGTACTTTTATTTTTAATTTGACAAATATTAACAAAAAGTGCTATTTTTAAATTAATAATGAAGAAAGTTTTATACAAGGTTTAAAAGCTAAAAAACAGAAACTAGAAAATCTTATATTTCTTAATATAACATCATAGCCCGCAGTTCTGATTAAAAAAAATGATTCATTTAAAAAAAAAACTGTCATTTATTGTGAATTTTATTTATTTTAAAATCATATTTAAGTTATTTAGCATAATGGTCGATATACCGGATATCGTCTATAGACGACACCCGTACAAACAGGTTGTCATGCGGGTGTCGCTTATAGGCGACGCTCGTACCGAAAGGGTGAAGGATTTCTAATATATAAATATTTTTATGTATTTATAAAACAAAATTCGAAAATAGCGTGAAACTAAATAGAGCCATTATGTATTGTAACATTTTGCCATTGTAAATCGATATAAATATTTAACCCTTTCCACTCGCATGCCAAAATACGTACTAAATCTGCAATTAGCGATTGGAAAGAGTTAATTTTTCTTTTCGTAGTTAATTGTAAAATCATAAACATTGCTCTATAATTTACCGACCAATTTTACTCATGAATATACTAATAATATGTTGTAATAGTAAGTGCAAAAATTTTATGATTTAATTTGACACTATTTTATGAAACGATATTCACGACATAATTATTGAATATATAAAAATATATAGAAACTATAAAAAATATATGAACAGAGGAAAGGACGAGAAAATCAATATTTTCATATAAACGGGTGTTCCATGGTCTAATAGTTAAGCACACGGACTCGTGTGAACGCGGTCGTGAGTGCTAATCCCGCTCTGAACAACCTGACATCGTGCAGAAGAGATGTCCTTTTTCACATGAAAATATAGATCAAGAATGTATTTCCAATTGAAAATAGACAAGTTGGGCACTGCGGTGTAATATGGCAAAGGAAAATCTCTCACACTATTCTTCCCTAAATCGAGTTAGAAATTCAATCAGGTCACGGGCTTGCCATAAGGCAGTACTACCCATTATAAAGGAAAGTAGATTTTGTTGTAATAATATATCAAGATTCTATATTGGATAATTTCAACCTTCTATAAAAGTATAGGTATTTTACTTGTTGCTAGTTTTACTATTCGATTGTAATAAACCTTGATTATGATGATGTATAACATGCTCATGCATGATTGTACAAAAATATCATTTTATTATTAAACTTTGAATTTTTAGTATCCGTTCAGATATGAGCATTTTGCATTATACTAACAACTTTTTGATTAGTTATATAATACCATAATTAATTTATATAATACCGAAATCCAGACGGTATAGAATGCATCGTAAAATTTTTAATAATCCTAAAACTTTTACTAAAATCTAATATTTTCAACCAATTTAATTATGAAAAGCCATAAATAAGGCAATCACCAGCTCCGTTACTAATATGAAGAAGGCGTGCGGTTTTCTATGTTCTGTGCAAGCCCGGTTTGTGATATTAATAACATCGCGAAGAAATTTTTTTAAGAAGCTTCTTTTCGAACGTACCTTTCTCTTTCCGCGCGATATTCAAACACCTCTATTTCGCGACACGATACATGCGTGTCTTCCGCAAACGCTGGCTGCAGGTCTCTTGCGGCCGCCTGGAACAAAAAAATGTGCTGTACTAGTATAGGAAAGTTGAACAATTGTGATATATGGCACACTCTTAATTATTATTTAACATATTCCGTGAACGCGTGCGGTTTTTTAAAATAAATAAAACTATTCATAATGTTTTTGCAATAATTTGCGGTTGTAATTGTCTTTGGTTGTTGCGACACTTTTTTTTAAGATTTTGAATTTTACACAACGAATTCTCATATTGCGTGAGAACTCGGACTAGTTGTTAAGTTTTATGATTATGATTTTTAAATTTGTATATCATTGATGATATTGGTTATATTCATTATGTTAGAAAATTTGTATTTATAATTTTCTTTACTACGCATGTTATTTCTGTTATATTAGTATCCATACAATTATGGCAATATAATGATTAAAGCTTTAGTATTCCAATCAGAATTTTGCAGGTTCGATACCCACGGAGAATAGCCTGATGGCAAGCAGTAATAACATCAATTTTTACTTAAAAATACAGACGAAAATATGTTTCCAAGTGAAAATGGCCTTTACCCGGCATTGCTGCTTCAAATTAAAAAAACATCAGTATTAGAGAAATTCTAACAATAAAATAAATGAAGTGATGAGGCAAAAGTTGATTTGTCTTTTTAAGAAAAACCAGGTAGGGGAGACTGGGTACGGTTGTTCCAGATAAGGATAGTGACAGTCGGCTAAAATATATTGATTTTAATATAGGGTCCAAAGGGAAAAAGATGAAGTATGATTGTTGGAATAAGTTCTCATTATTACTTTCAGTCATTGCCTTACATTAACATGATCTGTAGACCGCATTGCTTTTAAAGTGCCAAAAGTAAGTTTTTATATTCGAACTATTTTAACCATAATTGTTAATTATATACAAATAGATAACTTTGTTTGTTATTTTGCTGTAAGTTGAACATTTGTAGTTATTTACCAGTAATTAGGTTTTATTTTTAGATAATTTAGCTCAGTCATAATGATGATGTGTTTTCAAAAGAGTGCGATTATTAAGTCAAAAGAGGGCAGTATTTGAGTATTTCCACGTACAAAAATGCTCAAATTACCATTTAATTTAATTTTCTCTCAGCTAACTAGTAAATTTAAAAAAAATTTGATGATCAAAAAAAGTGGCACAACCGTACCGTATTCTTTACTTCTTATACTTAAGAAGTATTATCACAACAAATCACAGAAACTTACGTTCTGATTTCTGTTCAAATAATAAAAATAAAAATAGATAACGTTCGAAAAGGTAAAATAAATATAATTTCACTGTAATTAGCAACTTCTCTAGTACTTACTTCCATCTCATTACATGACCATATATTAGAATATTAGAAAAATATATTACGGTTGTGATACTATATTGTTATATAGTTTTAACTTCCCGTAGAGTAAGTTATTGTAATCGTCCAAAAATCGAAATTGAACATTTTGGCATACCTCATAAAAAATGGATGTGATGTGTGTGTGTATGTATGTGTGGATACAATTTTTTGTCCACGTTTTCGGGCGCATGGATCAACCGATTTGAATGTTTCAAAAAACATTCGAATCCTATCGATAGGAAGATGTGCTGATTAGTTTTTGGCAAAGGCAGGTCCAGCCGTTCCGAAGATACAAGCAAAGAGTGCAGAAAATAGAAATCGAGTTTCTGAGAGATCGGAACATCCGATTTGAATGATCCAAATAACATTCAATTTGTAATGACGGGGAAAAGGGTGATTGGTTTTTGGCAAAGGCAGGTCCAGCGGTTTCGGAGATACAGGGCTAAATGTGCAAAAAATAGCAGTTTTTGAGAGAACTAAGCGTCCGATTTGAATGATTCAAAGAAATTTCTGCTCTCGAAAATAGGAATCGAGTTTTTGAGAGATCGGAACATCCGATTTGAATGATCCAAATAACATTCAATTTGTAATGACGGGAAAAAGGGTGATTGGTTTTTGGCAAAGGCAGGTCCAGCGGTTTCTGAGATACAGAGCTAAATGTGCAAAAAATGGCAGTTTTTGAGAGAACTAAGCGTCCGATTTGAATGATTCAAAGAAATTTGTCTCAATTTTTTTTTTCAAAAAATATTTTTTTTTGTATATAGAAAATAATTCTGATTTTAATTGTAATTTTGACTTAAGTTCTAATATACTTTAAACAAAAATCTTCAACTTTGCAATTCTTTCTTCAGTTTATATAATTCTTATAAATACTAGACAATGTTACAGTATTTATTTATAAGGTTGTCAAATATCTCCCCTCCGCTTTTTTGTATTATAAACCAAGAGCAAAAAAGCGGAAGGGAGATATTTGACAACCTAATATAATAATCTATTTGAAAACATTTAATATTCTTAGAACATTTCGTTACGGTACGGGAAGTTCCAGCAATTTGCCTTAAGGCACGATGCCATACACACCACTAGTTAATACTTTAATTCTGCTATCATAATTGAATTAACATTTTATATTATTTATTTCCATTGATGAGCTAAATGTCATTTTGATTGCAATTTTTATGTTGGTTTGACAAAGCAACCACAGTTCGCAACGAACCCAAAACTCAATTGCAACGACTTAATACGAATTATTGTTATCAAAATTCAAGCTTCATAATTACTCAATTTACAACCAAATCTACAGACGTTTAACAAGATGTAAACA